CTCTCTCTCTCTCTCTAATTTAAATTTTAAATTTATACCTTGTTAATTACTATTCCAGGTAATTATCCTCGACTCTTGATATCGGCCACCAATGCTATTGTGATTACAAATGAAAGTCAATCCATTGATAATACATTTTATCATTCCATGAATTACTACCCAATACTTGATTGTAATGTTTTTATAACAGCAATACTTAATCAATAACTTTTAAAACTATTTTATTTCATTATAGATTTATTAGGGAAAGGCGTATCAATTACTAGCCCGTCATATAACATAGCATACGATTTTGTTCATGAATTAATCTATTGGATTGACACCAGATTTAAAGTGATCAATGTTATGGATATTAATTACTCGCATAATATTTATACAGTTATTAGACTTAACACAGAGTTTGCCAGAGATTTGCGGATTAATGTCGTGAACGGTGTACTCGTTTGGAGTACAACTGGCTTTGAGGCAAATCTAATGCAAAGTAATTTAGACGGAAGTAATGAAACAGTTATTTACGACAATAATAGACAAGCATTTCATCTGACAGTCGACTATCAGACACAACGATATTATTTCATTGATATCACAGACTATTCACTATATTCTGTGGACTTTAACGGCAATAATGAGAAATATTTTATGACTTCCCAAAAGTTATTCTCATCCATACATTCAATGCAAATATTGAATAATGACTTGTATTTAGCTAATGAACACATGGTTTACCGCATATTGGACCTGGAGGTTGGAGTAGAAAAAGCTGAAATTATTTATATGACTTATGACCACAACTATATTAATGATAATAAAAGTGAAACACATTTCTATTCATTCAAAACTGTTAACATAAACCGTGAAATGATACATGAGTTTCGGATTATGGATCCAATACTACAACCAAAGACTGGCAACCGATGTAAAGGACATGATTGCCGACACGTATGTGTACCCAGTAGTGGACAGTCGTATCAATGTCTTACTCCCGATGATAATGAGCCTGGGGTTAGTCAGCCACTGATCATGAATACGTGTAATAGTGTCAACATGTTATCCATAATTAACTCAATAGTGATTACATTTATGATAGCATTAGTCGTGTGCTTATATCTCAGGTGAGAATGATTATAAATTATCTAGTTCATAAATTATTTTGTATCTATTTTTTTTATCTTAATTTGCATTTTGTTTAGTATTAAGAAGATTGTGTTGACGATAGAGAAGCGCTTATTTCAAGTGATTGTACCGACGGTTACATTCAAGAGGGAAGTGGAGGAAAGGGAGAGACAGTTGAAGACACATATTAACCNTACCGACGGTTACATTCAAGAGGGAAGTGGAGGAAAGGGAGAGACAGTTGAAGACACATATTAACCACGACTACGAGAATAACGGCGGAAATAATCACGATTATGAGTCCATAGATAATGTGAAACGTGAGACTGGATAATAAAACACAGAAAGTGATACTGTGCTAGCTAATTTTGTTAGAAATTGTTTAAGATTTATATAAATGTTAAATGCTTAATTAGTTATTTAAATTTCAGTACTGTAGGTGCCTTTCTTGTTTAGTAGCAGGCTATTTTATCACAAAATGGATACTGATAATTTTGATAGTACAGTAATTTTCTACATTATATTACTGACAATTTCCAATAATAAAAGTAACCTCATGGCCACTATTAGTATTTTATTTTTAACAATGATTAGCATCGGACATAAGAATCTGCCTATATTTTAACATTATGTGCCATACAAATTAATCACTGTGATTATGAGTTGAAAAGTTTATAGTGTAA